TTGCATAGACCACTTCTAGGGAACTTAGGAGAGTACATGGATACAAGTTACCTGGAATGGGCAAGAATGGATGGGTTGTGAGTGATATCATTGAAGAAAATACCCACCTTAATGAGATCATCAATCTCATTGGAGAGTACTTCATTGGAGTACTAAGGATTACTCCTACCAACGTAGCTTAAAATCTCATTCCACCTTGAGAACAGATGGCTACATGAGTGGATGTTATGAAAAAAAAAGCAACCCAAGACTTCACCTAGTAGCCAACCTCTGATATTAAACCTTTCCAAACTTGGGCTGGTCCTCAGACAACAGATATCTAGACTACTGCTGATGTATACCTGAAATTCTTCCACTTTTATAGGAAACTCTGTTGATATAGCCTATAATAACTAAGCTAGAATCATCTCCATGCCATTATGAGCCAATGGAGCAGACCTTTAGTGGAAGATGGGATCATGCAGAAAAGGATAAAAAAGAAAAAAATGAATGTCTACTGTTGTATGCGTTAGCCATGTTTTCCCCCAAAGCATGTTGTAGAAGGAATAACTAATATACTGGAAGACAGACATAATCTAAAATGATATCAATAAGCTAGAGCTTTTGATTGAACCTAATAAGATTAAATTCCCATGAGATAAATGTAAAGTCATGCACTTGCATACAAAAAAATCAATTTTACCAGTGGAAAGAGGAGGAGACATGGATTGCTAGCAGCTGTTTTGGAAAAGGGGTTTAGTAGAAAAGGGGCTAGGGTTTTTAGCAGACTACAAGCTCAAAATGAACCAGTAAGGTGATAAGACACACATGAAAAAGTTTCATTAATAGCGGCTTAGTTTCCAGGAATAGGGAGCTCGTATTATACTCTTCTCTGCTTAGATCTCATCTCGAGTATTATGTTCAATGCTGGGCACCACAGTTTAAGAGGGATGTTGATAAATTAGAGAGTGTCCAGAGGAGGGAAACCAGTATGGTGAAAGGTTTTAAGTCCATCACATATGAGTATCACTCGAAGAGTCTGAGCAGGTTCAGCCTGGAGAAGAGAAGACTCAGGCAGAAGACATGAAAGCTGTCTGTCTTCAAATATTTAAAAGACTATCATGTAGATGAGGAAGAGACAGATGTAAGCTTGATACCAGGAAAAACATCTTAAATTATTGGAGCTACCCAAAAACAGAATGTGTCACCTCTGGGGATCGTGGGTTCCCTTCCTTGGAGATCTGCAGGTATAGGTTGGACAACCACTTGTCAGGTATGTTACAGTGGGGATCTCTTTAGTGTATGGGTTGGAGTAGATGTCCGCTGAAGTATCTTCTAATCCCAGATCTGTGTGACCCTATCCATTTAATTAGTGTAGTTTAGTTCCTTGGTGGTGGTGGTGGTGGGGGGGTGTTTTTAGAGTAATGATACTGGATGAAAAAGGAATAAATGGAAATGGGCCAGAAAGGGGAGAGATATGTGAGTAGTAAGTGTGGGCACGAATAAATGGGAACCCATTCATTTTTTAAAAACAACTTAGGAAGCTGATAATTATTTCTGACATTCATTTTTTTGTTTGTCATTTAGTTTGGGATTGTTTATTTATCTCTGCCAATTTGTTGGTTGATTCGTAGATTCAAGAAAAGATCAAAGAGATAAATATTTCTAGATTTTCCATGGGGACCAATTTTGCAGCCTTTTTGCAGCCAGAATCTCAGAGGAATAAATAGGAGTTTTGTCTATTCACATCACCTCCTTTTATATCTAGTTTTTGAAGCCTCATACTACATTCCAACCCGAGATGCACTCTGTACTTAGAGAATTCTCCTAGGAGCTGGAAACTTTTAAGTGCATTAAAACATCTCACAAACTAATGGTGATTTGGTCACACATCACCCTCTACAAATTAGAATTAAGTTCCAGCTACTAGTCCCTCCCTTTAGGGGATTTCAGAGAAGAAGAAAAAAAAAAACCCAGCCTGTATCCAAGAGGGAATGGGGCCATATTATCATAAAAAAACCCACAACAAAACACAGTGTTCTAAATTGTGTTCACTCATGAAATTTCCTTACCCACTAAGCTTAAAGGGAGAATACGCTCTCAATGATTATGTTTCCTCATTGACTTCCATAAAAAACACGAATATAGATAGATGAATTTTCTTGGGCAAATCTTGTTAACTACAATCTTACATGGAGACATTACTTCGAATAATCCTTGCACAACCAATCTGTTTAATTTTCTCTTTGATCGTTCTATTATTCCCATTGGCAGATTTTTCCTTTCTCCTTTTCCAAGAGTGTGGCTTCTTTTTTTTTTTTCATTCTTCAAAACAAACTGACAGCCTCAGCCTCACATAATTCCTTCCCCACACGTTGCCTAGAACTTAAGGAGGAACTGTGCCTGTTTCCCTTGGTACCCCAGCCTGATATTTTAAAAAGTACCCTCCATCTTGACTTCTGCACTCAGACATCTGCAAAAGTCTGCAAAAGCATTTGGTTCCACAATTTTAAAAAATGTCAGATTGCTGTAAGAGGTGATGGAAATATGGTGTTTCTTTCCTTCCTTCCCCCATAGCATAATAGAAAGCAATTAATTGCCTCTGCATCTCAGTAAAGTGATTTGATGCTGATATGCATCTATTCACAGGATATGAGATGCCACCTAATCTGTTCTGTAACCTCTAACAATTTAATATCTCTTCCTAGAATTCATTGCAAATTACAGGTAATAGTTATCCCACACCTCTCATCTTGCTAACCATGTAGCCAAATAGCACTAGAACCTTGGCTCATGTGTGTACCAATCAGTTCCAGTCTTAAATATGGAAGAAGTTGTAACCATCCTACTAGTGTGCTTTCAAGGTTCCGGAGGCTCTTCCTCCACCTCCCCCTTTAATGCCTTTCTAATCAATTTTCTGATGGCTGAAATTGTACCCTTAGCTTTTTTTTTTTTTGCTTGAAAAAAAAAAGCAATTTTGCATTTTGCACATGCCTCTGGGAAGAATAACACTGAATCTTATCATTTGTTAACACCTTAGTGTGAATGAGTTGATCAGATACTTGCCTGAAATCAGAGTTTGATAGGAGGGAGAGAATAGGAAGGAATTGATATTTAATAGGAGACATGGCAGATGGAGACAAAGTTGGAGGGGGGAGAAAAAGGACATGATCAAGAATAAATTTCACCTACTTTGTAATGTCATAGAGAATTAGCTCTGGTACCAAGCTACCATTTTGATGCATGTCAGCATGAGTTAGCTGAGGGCGTAGAACAAGAGTTACTTGTCCTTTTGTTGTTTCTGTAATCTGAACTGCTTTTAGAAATAAGGGCTGGAATGTTCCATAGGAACTCAGAGCATGGAACACTGAAGCATGGCACATTCTCCAAGTAGGCTATTTAAAAACAAGTCATTTGGCTTCCCCCTGTGATTCTAAATAAGTGTAATTGCATTATCTGAGCAGCCACAGTAACTATTTCCATAATGTTCTACCACATCTGTGCCTTCCAAGGCTAGGTCTATACAGGAAGAAATGGAGTGGAGATTTGGTAATTGGTTTATTTGATCAATTTCAGCTGTCCATGTCACAGCTAATATCCATCAAAGGTCAGAAAAATAGAAGGTTGGACTTGTGTTAACACTTCTACTTTGAACTTTACCACTTAACAGTCCTCATTAGGGACTTTTAGAACCATAAAATGGTATTTTTGAAAACATTTCCACTCCCACATCAACATTTTCTGGGGAAAAAGAGTAATCAGAAGCACAACTGCCAGATACATTAAAAAACTCTATCATTGTCCTTATAGAAGCCATTCTTTCATTGCATGGGAGGTAACACTAGATGATCTTCCAACTCTAAGATTCTATGTCAAGTAAATTTGTCACTTACTGAAGGACATTAACCAGTTGATGGTCATTAGCTAAGAAATCTATACAACATCAAAACAACTGCTCAATTTAAAGACTTAGGGGAAAATCTTGGTCAAGCCAGCTTTTTGATATTATATAGACAAAGTGATGGGTTGGTTACATTTTTTACCTTTTATATGGGTTGCATGGCCCTGTGCAGATAGGCATCTAAAAACCTTAGGCATCCAAACCAATCAATGTCTTCAGGCCAAAAGCATCCCTTTTGGACCCTTCATTATCCAGTTAGGCTGTCTAAATTATCAAAAGAGTCATATGATTATAATATTTCCACTTTGTTCTGTAGACAAACCCTGAGCACTGTTTTAAATGTAAGTTACAGAAAGGGTTAGCTCATTAATGTAAGTCTCCTCCCAAATGTTACAATTCAAAATAAATAACCAGCTAAATCACTACCACAGAGAGCTGACTTCTTGGTCAAATGTTATTTTTTGAAATGTTCTCAGGCATAGACTTGAAGATGTTGGTCCCTGGTGGCCAACTCAAAACATACAGCCAAGGCAGTTACTCCTTTAAATTGCTAAAGATTAGCTAATGAGCGCAAAAAAAACCCCCAAAAAACAAAAACAAAAAACCCTGTCAATTAAAAATTCTTAACAATATCTTTAATTACCCATATAGAGAAAGGTAAAATCTGTCTTTTTTTTTTTCACATGGTAAATCCCTTATAGCAACTGCGTACTTAGTCTCCCCGAGAGTCAACATCTTGAGTACATATGTTGTCATGATTAGGTCTGTATTGACTAATTCAAGACGAAAGGGCAGAATTACCAAAGACTCAAAGCCAAAAATGAAAGTGAAATAGAGGAATGAAATTGGGAGAAATGTTGTAATGGTCAACCAACTTCAGCAATTGCCTTTCAAGTCCCCCGTGGAACAGGTTAACAAATATGCCATCATCGCAGCTGGGCTGTGCATTCATTCTGTTTCCAGTGGGAGATGAAAAACCCCACATCTTTCTTATTTTGTCTGAGTGCAAATATACATGTTATAAAACACATCCATGCCTCTCCTAAAACTAATACTCAGCTTTTTAGGGACATGTAATCAATAAGATATAATAAATAATCATGATATAAATATTTCTCACAGGAGCTGCAGAGATGGTGTGAGTATAAAACTCCCTTCTAAGATTTCAGTAAAACCAGATCTCACAAAGGATCTGAAAGAAAAAGAAAAAGAAAAAGAAGCTTATGTTAATCTAGTTTAGCATAACAGTCACTATATTAAAGACTATTTTATGTGACACAATACTATTCTTTTCCAGATGAAGTCACAGGCAAGAATTCGCTACAGGTTTCTCATAACAATGAACAGAACAATCTAAAGGGGTTTAAGATCAGCTAGGAGAAGAGGAGAATCAGGATTTTAAAATGCAGCCGGACTGTAACACTGTCAGAAGGCTTGGCATGCAGGAGGAATTTTCCTCCCCAGATCATCCTTCTGTCGGCATGTACAAAATACCAAATGCACTGGTTTATGTTATAAAAAAAATAACATAAATGAAAGAACAAAATGCTTACGGGCCTTACAGTGAGATAACATCAGGAGGAACGCTGCGTGGAATAGATCTGGCATTTTCACATAAAGCATTATCTTTGGTGCAAGTACACAAGGCAGGACATTTTGGCTTCGTTGGTTTCTTCCCTTCAGTCAGCAAAAGCACAGATAAAAAGCATAGGAAATAAGCAATTCTTTTCAAGGGGATGCTGGCATTGCTGGCACTTTCCATCCTTTTGATCTTTTCTGGTTCCATCCAGTAGAAAAAATATCCCCAAACATGAACAGAACGCTTCTGGATTCAGAGGGAGATTGTCTTGCTCTCAGGCCAAGTCCAGAATTCGTCCACCCTTTTCTGTTCGCCTCTGTGCCTGTTTTTAAAAACAGGGACCTGCAGCTGATTCGTGAGCTGCTCCTCACTCAGGCAGTGCTCAGCTCCGAGGGAGAGACCTGTGAGGTGCTCTAAGATGGGCAGAATCCAACTGGCTGGAAGAGAAAACAGACTTGCATCACAGCGACAACACTGAGCCCAACACAGCATTGGAGGGCAAAGTGATGTAAGAGAAAATAAACAGCTTTCTGCTTTCACAGGGAGGCCCTTTAATTGTTACCAAAAATAGGGCAGCATTATGGCTTATTAGTGGGTGGGTGGGTGAGTGGGAGCAGTCATCTTGCACTGGATCTCGCTGCAATCTCTGAAGAAACCTTGGGGAATTTTCTTTCCCCATGGCAAGCAAACTCACAAGTGAAGCTATATTTAAAGCTGACACCCGCTGGAAAATGAAGTTAGACGGAACTCTCCCCATTATCGGAAAGCCTTTTGATGATTCTTTTATTCTACCTTGTTCAAGTTCTCCTACAAAGAAACATGAGCCCAAGGGAGATAATGATCATAAAGTATCATAAATGCTTGTTGATCAATATAAGGGGTGAGTATGCATCATTACCGAGGAGGGGGGAGGGAGCGTGTGAGACTGGATAGATTACAAGATATGCCTCACTTTACCCAAGCAAAGTGTTTTCTGAAAAGTTTCCCGTAAATCAGGTTTTTGTAAATTGAATCCTATTTTAAATGCCCGAGTGAAGCTTGCTATATAAAGGAATCATTTGAGGAACCAGGTTGTAGAAGTGAAGACTCTCTTTTTTATATGAATAAAGCACTTTTTAGCGGTGGGGTACAGTGGAAAGGGGCAGAGTTTTTGAGCCAGGAGACTTGGGTTCGAATTATGACTCCAACGCTATGTGACCATAAGTCAGAACCTTCATTTCCTCATTTGTAAAACCGGGGATAGTGACACTTCTTTTATCTACCCTTCTGGGTTCTCGTATTTTGAACAAACTAGGACTCCACCCAGCCAATCTCCAACGTCGCTAAGACCCCTGTACTGTAGGTTTCCTCTTCTCCCATTCCCCGCCCCTCCTCCATCCTGAGTATGAGGAAAGTGCTTTGTAAATTATAAAGCACCCACAATAATCGCCATAATAATTGACAATTAAAGGGCACTTTAATGTTTGCAGAGCTCTACCCACATTGTTCCATTTAATCATTTTAGGTGGTAGGTACCACAGGAGAATTAGATCTAGTTCTAGACACATAAATCTAGACCTGGAGGGGACCTCAGGAGGCAGTTAGTTCAGCCCGTTCATTTTATAAATGAAGAAACTGAGGCCCAGGAAGGTCAAATATCCTACCCACGACACACGAGTGGCAACTGGCAAAGGTAGGATTTGTAGGACCTTTGACTTCAAATCCATTGTTCTTTCTACTTGTACCATGCTGCCTTATTATTCTCATTTTACAAATGAGGAAACTGAGGCCCATAGGGGTTAAATGACTTGCCTATGGTTACATAGCTAGGATTTAAATTCAGGTCTTCCTGAGTCCAGGTCTCCATCCACTAACCCAAACTGCTTCCCACAAATGTGAGTTAATATTTATTTTGAAAGTGGAATATTCGCTGGACTAAGAGCCTGGAGATCTAGGTTCTACTCCAGCTCTGCCAATAACTAAGAGCAAGTCCCTTTCTTTCTCTGTGCCTTAATTTCCTCACCTCTAGAATGAAGAGGTTGAATTAAATGGTCTCTTGAAATCTCTCCATCTCAAACATTCTGTGATTCTATAATTCTATGCAATCTAGAATTTCAGACTAAGACAAAGACTGGCTAGAAAGTATAGATTTGATGTTTACAGTGAAACATCTATGTATTTATGATCTCATCAGTACAGATACTCTCTCCACTAGTATAGTTCACAATCCATGTGAAACTTCCCATCCTGTCCAACTCTTTCCAAGAGTCCTCCGGAGAGGATCTAACCAATGCCCTGCTTAAAAAAAAATTCAGTAATAACTGTGCAACAGTAAGTTGATCAAACCCTCAGTCTCTCTACACAAATTCTCCTTTTCTAGTCATACACCTTCTTAACAATGTCTTTTCTACCACTTGTATACAAACTTTCATTGGTAATATATTGCTCAAATATCAGCCTATTTATATTCATCATATATCTTTTCATTGCCGTTTGTGACGCCTGCAATTATGATACCCCCAAGATCAGATTGTTCCATGTCTTTCAACCATATAGCATGACCATGAAAATATGTGTTCAAGGAGTGATATGTGGTTGCAAGGAGTAGCTTGAGAAAGAAGGTGGTACAGTTTTCCAAATGCAATCCAGCCGTTGTTTTTGTTCTGCTCAATTCTGGGCCCCATTCATAATCAGTCTCCAGGGTCTCTAAGTTATATGAATGAACTCAATGGTCTGCCCATAATCTAGGCAATAGGTATTCCTCCTCCGCTTGGGTTTCACTTTGGCTGTGGATGGATTAATGCACCAGTCATTTGTTTGAGGTGGCTGTGGATTTTTTAATTGAGGAGGTACTTTAGTGTTCAGGGGCTTAATGCAATCAGCTGGTCATCTACAAGCAGGAACATCCAGAAAACATCTGTTCTGACAGGGAATTCCTCTTTCACTTGTATTTTGTGTAGGACATTCTCCATGATTGTGGTGAACACCTTCAGTGAGCTTCTATCTCCAAGTCTTATACCTCACTTAATACTGGTAACCAAGAGATTGCTGGAGAGTTATCTCTTTGGTGGCATCTGTCAAGGAATCTTGTACAATCTTAATGTATGTATAAGAGACACTTCATTGGAAAAACATCTCTTGAAACTGTATTTCCTCTGTTGAGTCAAATGCTTTTGTGTAACCAAAAATAATAAACATAGTGGGATGCACATTCTTTATAAGAATATATAAATTATGTTCTCTTTATGCACCTATAAATATTTATTCCCTTCCCTCTCTCTTCTCTGTACACCATGGTATTAAGAAACCATGAAGGTGTTTTTCAGAGAATTATTTACCAAACTCTGCCTATTCTGTTTCAATGTTTTCAATAAAGATACCCTTGTACCTAGATCATTCTGATAAAGATGGTATAGGGATGGGTCCTAGACTTTGACTTCATTGATGTAAAGATCTCTGAGTGAGAACTTCCAGTACCAACTGATGTTGTCACCTTCTCAGCAACTTTTAGCCCAAGGAATTGTCTAGGGCACTGAGAGGTTACATGCCTCACCTGGTGTCATATAACCAGCATGTGTCAGAGATAGGGCTGTAACCCAAGTCTTCCTGGCTATGAGACCAATTTTCTATCCTCTATACTCTGCTGCCTCTCAAAGATTTTGTAGAGACAAGAGAAAAGGCATATGGATCAGTTGTTAGTGATACTATCATCTTCTCCATACCTTTCAAGTCCTTCCCTCTTTGAGGTATCTTGAAGGTTGATCCCTGCATGCTACGTGTCATCTTCAGTATGGATTTTGTTATGTCTGTTAGGTATGCTTCTTAATTTTATTTTGTTGAGGGCTATTTCCACTCCTTCAATTAGTATATTAGGTTCTAAGGAATTCCAGTCTAAATGTAGCAATTCCTCTATTATCTATAATGAGAACAAATTACTATGGAAATGGCTGGTAGATCTGTTACATTTTACAGCTATTTGTTATTTTCCTTCCAATTTCATCTTTAAGTCTTTTGGGGATACCTGGCTCAGTTAGCTCTCATGCTAAACTTCTCATAAAGCTTATTTCCTCTTCTTTTGTTTTTCCTTGTTTTGTGAGGCAATTCTATTCATAATCTTCCATAATCTTGTCCTAAAATGTTTTGCAAGTAAATTTGTATTCTAAACCAGTGTTGCCTTTGGATGTTATGTTTCTCAACTTGGCAAGAAGATTAATTCTTTACTGCTGAGGTGGTTTCTGGTATTTTCTGGCTTTCTGTTTCTGGTCAGTATCTTACAATAGTTTAACTTCTCTATGAAATAGCTATAATGTGGTAGGGTGGGGAGAAATGGGGGAGAAGAATCTCATAATTGTCTTTAAATAAGGGTGGGAGAGTGGGAAGTATCACTGATTGTGTCCCTCTCTCCTTCCCAGTGTCCCCTGTGAGTATTCTGGGAAACGGATGAGGGAATAGTGCCATAAAGAAGACTGAGAAGAGGATGGGGTCATGGTAGAAAGAGGGTATATCACTGAAGGGTTGTGTCAGGGAATCAGTTGGTTTGATAACTATCAGTTTGAGATCTACTGGTAGTCCTTATCTGCTGGGTGAGAATTCTGGTGTGAAAGGAATTTAGTTTTGGTGGAGGTATTTATTTTAAAATATATAAAAGATGAGAAGGTAGAGCCCTCGGTAATTCTAGCACAATGTCTTCCCAGAGCCTAACAATATATATATTGTTATATATATATATAAAAAGAACATATATCTATGTATGTATGTATATGTATGTGTGTGTGTATATATGTATGTGTGTGTGTGTGTGTGTGTGTGTGTGTGTGTGT